TGGTTGGGGGTATCTCTCTCAACACTGACTCGTTTGAGTCGTTTGTTGCTGCCCGTGTCGTTGCTGGTGTTTGTTTGTTTTTCTGTTTAACAACACAAAAAAAGAAAAGATGAGCCAAAACCAAAAAAAAAAAAAAAACAGAGGCTGGAGGAATAATATGCGTCGATTAAGTCATGACTGCGATGGAGCGCGATGCCGTTTCTCCAGACGTCCCTTTGTTTTCTTCGTTGCTGTTCTTGTTGCTGCTGCGTGCTCACCAGCGTTTCTTCTTTCTCCTCCTCCTCCTCCTCAAACACACACTCACTCACACACAAAACAACAACTCGCACTCTCTGACTCACTCCTCCGCGTAGTTTCTGTCGCGTAGCATTTTCATCGCTTTGCGTCTGTGTGCCCCGTAAATTACCGTGAAGGATGCCGCTCGTCATGCCCGCCGCTGGCGTGCCGTCGGCGCAGGTGCCGAGCCACGCGCACGACGAACTGCTAGGCCGACTCATGCGGCTGTACCGTGCGCTGTGCGTGCGCCACGATGAGGTGGGGCAGGAAATGGTCCTCAACGACATCCTCGCGCTGTTGACGCGCCACCACCAGCATGACATGGCGGAGAGCGTCATCGCCACGTGCGAGATCAGCATGCCTCACCGCTCCAATAACCAGGCGGCGCGCTACTTCTACTACGTCGGACTTACGCGGGCACTGCGGCTGGAGTACGTGGACGCAAACCAGTGCCTACAGCAGGCGCTGCGCAAGGCCCCCGAGCGCGCCTTCGGCTTCCGCGTTGCGGCGACGAAGCTGGCGCTGGTGGTGCAGCTGCTGCTGGGTGAGATTCCACCCCGCTCGGACTTCCTGCAGAAGGACATGCGGGATTCCCTCTCGCCGTATCTGCAGCTCGCCTCCTGCGTGCGCTTTGGGCAGTTGGGCCGCTTCATGTCGATCCTGCAGCAGCACCAGAGCGTCTTCGAGCACGACCGCACCTACTCCCTCATCTTGCGCGTGCGGCAGCACGTCATCAAGACAGGGCTGCGCCGCATCTGCCAGGCGTACAGCCGCATTAGCATACCGGACGTCTGCGTTAAGCTCTCTATGGAAAACCCTGCAGATGCGGAGTACATCATTGCAAAAGCCATCCGTGACGGCGTCATTGACGCCGTTATCGACCACGAGAAGCGGCATTTGATCAGCAGCGACACTGTTGACGTGTACTCGACGTCGGAGCCACTCTTAGCGCTGCAGCGCCGCATTCAGTTCCTCAACGTTACACACAACGAGGCCAAGCGATCGATGCGCTACACCGCGGCTGACCCCGACCTCGAAGAGGAGCGGCGTAAGGTGGACCGCGAAGAGATGGACAACGCCCTGCGCGCCGCCATGGAGGACGAGGACATGAACATCGCCGACTTTGAGGATGGCTTGCCGTAGTATTGTTTGCGTGGCAAGGCAGGTGGAGGAGGTGCCCTGCTGCGCGCTCAAACACAGAAAAGGAACCCCGGAGAATCGAACAAGAGGTGCATGTGCGCATCTCTCTCTCTCTGTGTGTGTGTGTGCGTTTCTCCGCGGGAATGACGTCCCACGGCTGCGTTTGAGATGCAATTACGTGGCGATGGCAAAGAAGGCAAAAAAAAAAGAGACGAGGTCGAGATTTATATGGATATATAAATGTATATGCCTTGTTATAGCACGGAATGCCTTGAACGCCACGCCTTTAGGGTTTCTATGCCTTGCTGGCATGTGTGTTTTTCCCTTGGCTCTGTGTGGGTAGGAGTGCGGCGCATGCATGTGCTCCAATGTTTCCCTGTATTCACCTTGTTATCTGTGTAGAGCACAGAATAGATAGTGGGAGAAGATGGAGCACCCGGATGGGAATCCACAGCAGCAAGATACCATTGATGCACTTTTGCAATCCGCAAACAAAGAGGCCCGGCAGGTCCCCTCACTGGCGTCTGTCGTAGCACCGGTGCAAGCATTTCCGGTTGACGAGCCTGGGACGTCTCCCGTGTCAGGCCGGAAGCAGCGCAATGCGTCCGTCTCCCTCCAGCGTCAGACTGGCAACTTCGAGATGACTCTGTCGCAGCGGTCGGTGTGCAGCCCGCGTGCGGGGTCCAGACGCAGCAGCCTCCGCACTGTGGGCCAGGCGCCGGAGGGCTTGGACCGCGCCGTCTCCATGGTGCAGACGTACCCGCTCATGATGGTAGACGGCACGGCCTTCGGGAATCATCTCAGTCGTCGTGGCACGGGGGAGAGCGTAGACTTACCCACGCCGATGCGCTCCGCCCGTTCGCCAACGCCCGCGGAGGGGGAGGTGCTGACGGATAGCTCCACAGACCTCTTAGGGGCGTTGGGCCGTTTGCGGCCGAGTGAGAGCGTGGTCTCGCTGGCGTCGCGCTGCAAGCGCGCGTGCATGTGGGAGACCATCATTGTAAACTTCCTCGCGCACCGTGTGTGGTATGAGTCCTTCCGCCGTCTCCGCCTCCGCACGGTACTTGAGACGCATCTGTTGCCCGTCATTCTGCGGAAGCGGGGAGAAGCAGTGGTGGGGGGACGGTTCGTGCGGAAGCCGAGCAGTCAAGCTCCCGTACTGCTGCGCGACGACGAGGGCCAAAAACCACAGGGAAGTTTTCTAATCGAGCAGTGCCCATTCTTTGCCGCGCTAGAAAGCCCGAAGTTCTGCGACTCTATTGCCGAGGTGGTGCTGCGCTATCGCTTCTCCTTGGGGGAGGCGATCGTCAATGTTGGCAGTCCTTCACAAGAGGCCCTCCACATTCTTATTTCCGGCAGATGTGATGCGATTCTCCCTGCCAGTGAGGGGCGGAAGGGCGTGCAACGGAGAAGGCTGCAGCCAGGCGAGACATTCGGTGGACTAATGGGCGGCAAGGCGGTGTTCTCAGAGGTGTACAGGGCTATTTCGCGATGCATTATCTGGGTCATCAGACGAGAATCCTTCGAGACACTCTTTCAGCAGTACGCGGATGAACGTATGAAAAATGTCTACCTGCGGGCATTAAAGCAACAGATGGAGGAACGCCTGCATTCGCTGTATCCGATGCCGCAGAGTATGTCTCGGGTGCCGATTTACCGAAATATCAACGGTGCGATCGAGCAGTACGCAAACGATTTCACGCCACTAGTCCTAACGAAGGGCGAGGTTTTGTTCAACCAAGGGGACTCACCTGGTGCAATCTACTGTCTTGTGGAGGGGCAGGTGCAGCGAGATCAACTTGGTCCTGACATGACTTACGAGAGTGGAACGCAGCAAATATTATCTCCAAACGAATCGGACAACAGCTTCGCATTGGCTACACGCTTTATCTTGCTGGGGGAGGAGCCGCACATTCTTCCGGGCGTGCTGCGGTACAGATGTACCGTTGCCAGTCGAGCCGCTCTGTTCTACAAGATTGAAGGGGGGCGCTTTGTCAATGCCTTGCTCGATGACGCAAGGCTCTTTCTCGAGATCCGTGAAAAGCTCACAACACAGATACGCCTTTGGATGCGGCTTGCCCCAGAGGCACTGCTCAGTGTCCCAATTTTGAGGGAATTGCCACAGACGCATTTTGCTTCCATCGTGCATGCGGCTGAGGCCCGCGTGGTGGAGCGCTCCGTCTCACTGTGTGAGCCCGCGCAAAATATACGGGAGATATACCTTTTGGTTGCGGGGGGTGTGCGGGATCCGCGGCAGTTCAATCATGCACCGACGCAGCCGGTGTCTCCACCATCCACTGAGAGCGATAAGTCACAGGAGAAGGCGCCTGTCAAGGGGAAGAAGGAGAAGTTGCCCAAAACAAGTCTTGCGTGGCGCGAGAAAGAAATGAAAAATTCGGCCTTTCCTTCAGTGGTGGATGGTATGGCGAATGCCCGGGCACCTCCCTCTCTTGAGGCGGCGGCAGCAGCAGCGGCAGCGGCTTTAGCACCAGCTGGGGGGTTACATAAGAGGTGGTCCTTTTTCCGTGGGCCTGACAGCGACAGCACAAAGACACCTACTTACCCAGACGAGCAGGTAGAGATCACCCCGCCGCTCCCACCAAACCCGGCGAAGAACATTGTGTGCACCATCGGCGGAGGTTGGGAAGGCCTTCTATTGGAAAAATGGCCGAACGGATGGGAGACGACAAACACGGTGGAGTTGTGGGCAGTCCCAATGCTTACCATACGAACAGAATTCAATAGTTCACCCAAGTCGACACAGAACTCGATTCTCTCGTATATCCGAAACCTGCAGATGCAGGATCTGAGCCTACCTGCGCCAGTGGTGGCGAAGCTGCCGCCCATGAGTGTGTATTTGCCGCCCGATAAGCGTCTCACCAAGCACAGCTTGGGTCTAGAAAAAGGTCTCGTGCATGAGAAGAGTGCGGTTCGCCGCTCTGGGAAGACTGTTCTCAGTGGTGTGTCACGCGAGGTTTCAAATGCGGTCAGCAGCAAGCCAGGACGCGTCGTCGGTGAGTTCTCCTTCTCGCACTCCAGCACACTGACTGAATGCTCAGTCTCCACTTGTGACGGTATCAAATCCCACAAGAAAAAGCAGCCACCGAAAGAATTGCCGAAGCCGCCCAGGTCATCCGTGTCCCCCACGAGTATAGTGACACGAAAGAACGGAAAGAAACAGGATACATGTAAGTTGACTAAAACAAACACAATCACCGGTGGTGGCGACACTGCGGTGGAGGAGGTGCGTAAGCCCAAGGCAGGGCCGCCGCCGCTGCTCTTCCTCCGACGGCTCGCGGCCAAGCCACCCGAAGAGCCGCCGGTGATCACACCAGAGCTGTGCGCCATCTACGCCGGGAGGGAGCCGCAGAAGGGCATCATCCGACAGCCACCGCAGGTGCTGGGGGGTGCGCGCGAGAAGGCAGTCGTGAGTACGGCGCGGTGCGTGGATCAGCAGTCCACCTGGCCGTCGGCGACAGGAGCGAAGAAGCAGTGGTTCGGCGTGGTGCCTGAATATGCGCCACTCCCAGGGACAATCAACAATCAAAACTACATCGTGGGCCCGCCGTCTCTCGTGCCGAACACGGCGCTCATGCTGAGGCGTGAAAAGAAGCACGGTGAAGTGTTGGCCGCCCAGGCAGCGTACTTTCTCTCCCTGGCGCACAGCAGGCGTAATGGCGCCGAGGCGGGTGATTCGACGTTGACACAAGTAGGTGGAAACGTGAATAGTTTGGCCTCGCCGAGGCGATGCAATACCCCGAAAGGAGTGCGCCTGCCCGCCCCTGGGCGGCACGCATACCGGCTATGAGGCGAACCCAATGAATGAAAGAGAACGCAAAAAAAACGGAGGATGCGTCATGTTTTTTTTTTTGCTTCCCATCAGTGTGGGACGACAACAGGCACCGTTGTTGTGTAGCATAAAAGGGGGGGGGGAGAGAGAAAGAAAAGAAGAATGGCTCAGCATATGTAAATGGAAGAAAGAAAACAACAACAAAAAAAGAAATGACACAAAGTGACATTGGCCGACTTCCCTCTTTCTCTCTCTCTAGCTCCTCATCTCAGAAGTTTTTGTCCCACACTCTGCTCATGTACCGTGATGCAACTGTACACACGAACACATACATTCCATGGAACGGTTGCTCTGGCTGTTTTTCAGGACTGTATCCAGTGAATTGGCACGCGCAGGATTCTTTGGTTTCCCATCACTCTTTACACACACTCTTTCGCTCTCTTTCCATTGTGTTTCGCCTTTTTGCTGTTGTTGTTGCTCCCACCCCCACCATTATGATTAGATAGGGACACGGCCAGTGGTCATGACTGAGAAGAACTGGGCCTTGGGTGAGAGCGGCGCAAAGGTGGCGGAGGTGTCGCACGAGGCCACACATGTGGCGAGTGCAGCCGCCAACCTCTTGGTAGAGCGCGAGGACCTTCTTTGGATCACTGGCGACGCGCCGCAACACGTAACGCTCAAGATCGCCCACCCCCACCCTTTGCTTCGCTATATTGGGTGGCACGTGTGGCACGACTACCTCACGAACCCTAAAACAGTGGAGGTGGCATCGGGGGAGTCGACAGACGATATGGTGGCACAGCTGGTGTGCGAGGCCGTGACGGGCGCTGGAACGCAGATATGGAAGTTGCCCAACGGGATTCCATCCAATCATTTGTTTGTGCGTATCAAGATTGTGGAAACATTCGGCCCTGGACCTACTTACATGAATAACATAGTCCTCTTCGCCAACGATCCTGGTACGCGATTCCGAAGCACACGCAACAGCGTGGCAGCTGCCGCGAAGCCAAATGAAGGATCGATGGGGCGAATGAGTGTGCTGCTCAAGGAGCTTGATGAGGATATTCGGGCGCTGCACCCTATAAAGACGGTGACGCCGAAAAAGAACATGCTGCTCTATATTCCACAGGAACCAATGACAATACTCCCGCCTGACGATGCCGAAGAGGAGGAGGTGCCGTCGCCACAGCTGCGCGGCCCAACGCAGCGGCAGGGTAGCAACGGCATGAACAGCACCCCACAGCTGGTTGGCCCACGAAGCTTCTCGGAGGGCAACGCCGCCACACGCGCGGCGTCTGGGCTCGGGCTTGGTGCGGCAGAGGTGTCGCGGGGCTTCAACGACCGCCTTTGCGCTCTAGAGCAGGCGGTGGCTTCTCTTACGCAGAGCATGAATCACCAACGGGAGGACTTAACTATGATAAAGAGACTTCTTCTCCAGCAAGCCTCTGAGCGGCGATGCGAACTAGAGCAGAAGCTCAATGCTTCACACGCGCCAACATCAATGCAGGGACAGCAACAGTCACAGCAGCTGAATCCACATAGGGTGTCTCGCCACCAGGTCTCCGTTGACTTTCCGGAGGACGCCCTCCGATCATTTGTAGAGAGTGTAGTGGCGCCGAAGCTCCACAGACACGCCAAGCGGACAGAGGCGCAGACAATAGCCAAACTGGACGAATTCCTAAAGGATATTGTTACTGAGATGACCCACGCGGTGGATGATCGTGTTAGGCTTCATATTCAGCAGGCCTCCTCCAACGGAAGCGGTGGCGGCAACCTCGCAGGCCTGCCACCGTATGCCCCTGATGGCCGCAAAGCGCATCCTACGCACACACCGCCACAGGGTGTGAAGAGCCACAATCGTTCGGCTTACGCGGACTATAGTGCTCCCGCTACTGCTTCCGCCTTTGTTCCACAACGTCAGATGACGTCCTTTTCTACACCACCTGTAAGCAGCGTGGGAAGCCCATGTGGCAAGGATGTGGGCAGCATACCTGTGTCCATCATTCGAGACATGTCCACAGAGGCTGATCCAAGCTATGCTAGACGTGCAGGTGCAACATCTCGGTGACTCCAAGCAAAATGGTGATTGTCTCTGCTTTTTATACCCCGGAAACAATGTCGTTCTGAAGTACTTCTTGTTCGATGAGCGATGTTTGGCCGTTCCGTTTTTTTCCTGTCCTGTATTTGTTTTTCCCTCTTCTTAAATCCAGGTGGATAGATGTGTGAGATGGACTGCGTCGGGGCTGTGACAGTGGTCTTCAAATGTTGCCGTATTTCTTCTCTCTCGCTCTGTGTGTGTGTGTTTCTGTGTGTGTCGGGCCTGGCGTTCTGCCGAGCTGTACGGGGTATTGAGACACCACACTTCCATTTTTTTTTTTGTTCCTGTTCTTTATTTCGTTACTATTGCTATTACTGGCCGCACAGGTGATAGAAGGAGTCTCACAGAAGCGGATAGCACGCACGTGGGGCGGTATGCAGTCACGGAGGAACTCCATGATGTCGCGTGTGTGCCGCAGGTACGCACGCGTCCCCGGCCAGCACGGTGACGGCAACGCCCCCGCCTTTTACCCAATCGCCATTAACCCAAGCTGGTGGGGACAACCGTTCGGAAAAGTGAAGGACGCGACGGGCCAGATTGTCTTCCTCTACCTTGTGGTGTTTCCATTCTCCATGTACTGGCTGTTCGATGTGACCTTCGGGCAGCGCACGCGTGTCGCAAACGTTGGTAAGCGCGCATTGTACTCCAACTTCTTCTTTAGACAGATGGACCTCGACGACCCGGACCATGCGATCAAGTATGAGAAAATGCGGGAGGAAGTAGCAGAGAACAAACTGGAGGTACGCTGGGGTGGCACGAACTTCCTCGCGAGCTACTTGTGGGAGCCTGGGGACCCACAGCCGGATATCCGCCGCCGTGCTGTTCCCGAGCACCACTAAGCACTCATGTGGTGTGTTGCTTTGCCGTGCCGTGGCGTTCGTGTGTGTGTGTGTGTG